CGTATGTGCATGTATGTATGTATGCATGCATGCATGCATGCATGCATGCATGCATGCATGTATGTATGTATGTATGTATGTATGTATGTATGCATGTATGTATGTATGTATGTATGTATGTATGTATGTATGTTCATGTATGTATGTCTATATATATATATATATATGAGCTCTCGGTGCTGACTCCTCCCGCATTCAGCCACACTTGGGTAGTGCTGTGGTTTTCTTTAATGGACGTGGCCTCAGTTATATCATATACTCTCCAACTCTATTTTTGGATCTGAGCCCCCTCAACGTCCATCAACAAAAAACAAAACTGTTTATCTCTAAACACATAGCACTCTTAAAATGTACAAGCCGCAACACACATGGAAAGCTTGATTCGGAACAGCAGTTTTTGCAAGAAGCTACATCGCCCCTTCAAAGCACCCCGTAAGTCTCCTAATTTGAAGGTCCCTCCAGAATTTCAGAATACCACCCACTGTTTGCATACACCAGCATCACAGCTCAATCTTTGTAAAGGTGTTCGCCGCCACCTATAAATTCCCCAGAGAATCCCAGAGAGCACTTTAGGTCGTATATTGGTCGTTTGTGACAATATTCCTTGATTTTCCGATATCTTTTTATCTCAGAGCCTCACGCCTAGCTCTGACTTTCATGCCCATAAATTCTCGCTGGGGGCGGCAGGCCATTCTCGCTTCCCTACGCCCTCGAGCGCCCCTACGGCTGGGCAGAGGGCGGAGCGGCTGTGAAACTGCGAGGGCCTGAGGTTTGGGTTAGGGTTCAGGGATTTAGGGTTTAGGGACCGTATAACCCCCCAAAGAACCGCCCCTTTCTAAGGACTAATGTATGGAAATGACAAGAATGAGCCGCAAGAATGTCGTTAGAGAATGTCGTTTTTTTTCTATAGGCTGAAGGTTTAGAAGCTCCTAACCCTGAAATCGAGGCCGTAAGGGCCGAGCCGTAATGGCCCCTGAATGTCCTAGAAAATGGGAGATTTTGCATGGTCAGTGTGGAAGTCCTTGTGCAGTTGATGGGCTTATGTGCTGACGTACTGTATTGAGTATTTTGCCCCAGTGAGACCCTGCATCGTAGGTTCGTCCTAGCCAGGCGGGAGGGAGAAAAAATCGAGTTCGAAGCGTGAGTTGGGGCTGATATTGGAACGTGGCAATTGCAGGGTTTGAGGGTTTTTCGGCTGCTTGAGGCTTTAGGTTTAGGATTTTAGGAGTTTAGAGTTAGATCAACGGTGGCTCTACAAGTGTTTATGTAGCGTTCACGAAAATTGTGAGAGTGTCGGCTTGCAAGGACTCCGCACGAGAGTCCTTCATTCGTATTCCCCAAGCATACGAATTACGTCGCTGCAAGGTCCCTCTGGTGTTAACGGTTCAGGGTCCGTGACTATTGTTATGGATTGAAGCGGTCGAAGATGTAGGAAACCAGGTTTTGGCTCAAAGCCCAGGCTGCCCATCGACTCAGCAACCCACAACTTAAACCCTAAAGAGCTACCTAACCCCATGAAGCGCAAGCCTAAACGCAAATTAACTCCCATAATCCCTAAATCCTACACCCTGACTGCGCGTGTCGCCCACTAGACTTAGTCAGTCCGATAAGCCGTATACCCCGATACCCTACAAACCCTAAACCCAAGCCCTACACCCTAAACCCTAAAGCCCAAACCCCAAACCCTTTACCCTAAACCAACAATTTCCTAAACTCAAACCCTATACCTATACCCTAATTAAAGCCCTAAACAAAAACCCTAAACCCCATACCCTAAACTCCATACCCTAAACCCTGAACCCTATGCCCTAAACCCTACACCCTATACCCCAAACCTAAATCCTGTACGGAAACCCTCAACCCCAAAACGTTGTCTCCTAGGCACGGCGTCACCTGGCCGGAGGATGCTGACCTGGACCTGACACTGATTTTTGCCTCTTGCCTTTTCGGGTTTAGGTTTTAGGGCTTAAGGTTAGGGGCTCAAGTTTTAGGGTTTAGGTTTTTGGATTTTGGGTTTAGGGTTGGGGGTTTAGGTTTTCCTGTCACCTTCCCCGGCCGACTTCACAAGCCCGGATGCAAAAGGGAAGAGGGTTTAGGGTTTAGGTTTTAGGGTTTAGGGTTTTGGGCCAGGGCCCCCAAGTACCCTGTACAGGGCTCGCGGAGCTGGCTAACGCGGGATTTGACGGTTTAGGGTTTAGGGTTTAGGCTTTTGTTGTTTAGTTTTAGTGTAGGGTTTGGGTTTATGCTTATGATTGTGGGGAGGTGTTGTTCCTGTTCCGTTTGGGATTTCGTTTAGGATTGCTCCACAGGATCTTTCGGGAGTTTAGGGCTTTCGGGCTTTAGTGTTTGTGACTTCGACTGTTAAACGAGCTGAGGGCAGGGTCGGGCAGTGTTCGATGTTCAGGATCTGCAGTTCAAGGGGTTCAGGGCCTGAGAGGTACGACGTTGTGAAATGTTGGAGACTCTGTCAAACCAAAAGGTAAAGCTATGCAGGTCTACACGGGCAGCATGGTTTAGGCTTCAGGGCTCAAGACTTTTTGTCGAAGGCTTCGGGAAGCCATGTCGAATAGTAGGTTTTAGGACCTTAGGTTAGAGATCTCTTGGGCATCCATGCTACCCGGACAAAAGGTCTTCAGCGACCGCGATGTCATGAGCCACTGCCACCGGGTCTCTATGAAGATTGCTGAGTGCCTCTTGGAATGAACAGCCCAGAAGTGGCTTTCACCGTGCAGCTGCGGTGGGTCTTACTTTTTGTTGGGGGGGGTGGGAGGGCTGGTCTGTTCGGGCGTATCACTTCCTGAGGGCTAGGATGACTCACGTTTGAGGCTGCGAGAGCTACAATAGGGAGCACGAGAGGTAGAGCGCTGGTGGTGGCATCTTCTGTAGCTGCAGCCAGGCATGTCAAGTACTTATGCTTGGAAGGATGCTAATTGATGATGGCACCCCGTGTTGTCACGGTCCTTTTCGTTGTGATCAGGCTGAACTGGCTATACTAACTAACGTATCAGGGATTCGTTGATTGGTGTTTGTTCATCTTCTTTTTGTCCATACAGAAATGAAATACTACATGCATACATAACGTACATACATACCTCACCTCACTTCACCTCACCTCTCCCTGCTGCACGCCTGCCTGCCTGCCTGCCTGCCTGCCTGCCTGCCTCCCTGCCTCCCTGCCTCCCTGCCTCCCTACCTACCTACCTACCTACCTACCTACCTACCTACCTACCTACCTCCCTGCCTACCTACCTACCTCCCTGCCTACCTACCTACCTCCCTGCCTACCTATGCACCGATATGAACGGAAGGACGGAACCGAAGGATGTGCATACCTGCAGGGGTAACTATGGTTATAACCCATATTAGGGAACTTGTAACCCCACTTATAACTACCCCTAAACCCTAAACCCTACAGCCCCGAAACAGTATTCTAATGAATGAGGCCCTAAACCCTAAACCCAAAACAGTATTCTAATGATTGAGGCCCCAAAACCTAAACTACACCCTACACCCTAAGCCCTAAACCCAAAACAGTATTCTAATGATTGGGGCCCCTACATTAGCCCAGGTGTCGTGCCAACTCCGCCGAACTCGGGCTCGTCAACGGCTCCCCGGTGGAAGTTCGTAGCCCGCAGGGTCCGGTCCAGGTGGGCACTTGGAGGTTCATGGGTAGTTGTAAGTCGGGCTATTTGGGGTTCCTTGAAAGGGTTCTGTCGGGTTTAGGGTTTAGGGGTAGTTATTCTTGCTCGCAAGCCTGCAGCAAAAGGGGTAGGTATAAGTGGGGTTATACGTCCCCTAATATGGGTTATAAGTATTGTTTCCCTACTTATAACCCCACTTATAACTAGCCATGAACCCCCAAGTAGTTCTCTAATTTAGAGTCCCGATTTTGAAGGGTTCCTTAAAGGGATCTATAAGGGTTTCTATAAAGGTACTATAAGTGTACTATATCGGTAGTTCCGTAAATTAGGGTCCCCTTTTCAAGTCCCCAACATAGTACGGCACCCTTGCATCAAAAAAAAGCAAACGACCCTGAAAGGGGACCCCAGAGTTTAGGGTTTAGGGTTTAGGGTTTAGGGTCTATAGGGTTTAGGGTTTAGGGTTTCGGGTTTAGGGTTTCGGGTTTAGGGTTTCGGGTTTAGGGTTTAGAGAACGACCCAGATGACCCAGTGTGCTAACATGGTTCTTCCCTTCTGCATCGCACCCTCAGGCTTCCCATGCCAAACCCTAAACCCTAAACCCTAAACCCTAAACATAAAGGGTTTAGGGTTTAGGCCCTAAGCCCCAAGTCCCAGGAGGCAGGAGGCCCAAGCCCAAACCCCTAAACTCCCTCAAGAATCCCATGGTGAAACCTTCAAACCCCTTCTGGGGCCCTTCAGGGAACCCTTGTAGAAAGTCTGTTCTAAATGTTGAGAAGCCTCCCTAGGTCCTAAACCCTAAACTCCCTCAAACCCTAAACTCTAAACCCTAAACCCTAAAACCCTAAACCCTAAAACCCAGTAGCCCTAAAGACTAAAACCCCACAACCAACACTAAACCCAAAAACCCTAAAACACTAAACCCTAAAATCCTAAAACACCAAACCCTAAAGCCCTAAAATCCTAAAATCAAAACACTAAACCCTAAAATCCTAAAGCGCTTTAGGTTTCCCTGAAGATGATGGCCACGCGCAGCGGCGAAACTGCGACCTACGACCTGCCTGGGCTTAGCTACAACTTCATGGTGCCTGGGCCTGTTTAGGGTTCAGGGTTTAGGGTTTGGGGTTTAGGGTTTAGGATTTGGGGTTTAGGGTTTAGGGCTTAGGGTTTTAGAGTTTAGGGTTTAGGGTTCAGGGTTTTTGGGGTTTAGGGTTTAGTGGTTTCAGGGTTAAGGGTTAGGGAGGACGAGCCTGCTTTGCAGGGTATGTTTAGGTTCAGGGTTTAAGGTTTAGGAGGGGGTTAAGTAAGTTTTAGCAGAGCCCTAAGTAAGGTCTGACCGTTTTTCTGCATTGCAGATGTTGATCAAGGCTTTTTCGGGATCCGTATATGGGAGTTTCCGAAACTAAGGGGTACCTTATTTTGGGGGTCCTTATAATAAGGATCCTACTACGTAGGGTACTGTATTAGGGTCCGCTATTTTCGGAAACCCCCATATCGGTCTCGTCGAGGTTTCATGAGGAGGATTACGCTCTAAGGGTTGTTGCCGGTCTGACACGACGTCAAAAAGGATCTTATGCCGGTAAGGTCCCTCTGATTCAAGCCAGGAATCCATAGCATCGTAGCTTGCTTAAAGAGTGGATTATGGAGCATCCTAGCCTTCGTGTTCTGCTCAGGTGCATCTTGGGATCCCTGTGAAGGTTTGGGGCGTGTAGGGTTCAGGAGGCTTCGGGGGTTGGGCCTTGAGGGATTCGGTTCTGGTTTTGGATTTGGGGTGCAGGGTTTAGGGTTTAGGGTTTAGGGTTTAGGGTAGGGTGTTGGATTCAGGAGGTGATTGTAGCGACAGGATTGATAACTTGATAGTCGTACTGTCTGTAGACTGTGCTTCTGGATGTTGGATTGTAGGAGCTATTGCAGTAATCTCGAACCCTGAACCCTAAACACTGGGTCACAGAGCCTTTTCATACCGGATGCGAGAAGAAAAGCGGCGATAAACAAATGCAATCCTAGACCTTAAACCCCAAAGCCCTCAACCCTTAATTCCTTAAACCCTACACACCTGAACTCTAAACTCGAAACTCTAAACCTAAAAAACCCGACAATCCGTAAATCCTAAACTCTCTAAGCTCTAAGCCCCAAAGGCCTAAGCCCCTAAATCCTTAACCCTAAACCGCTTAAACCCCTACGCTTTTAACTTAAACTCCGAAGTCCGAATCTTCAACTCCGAACCCTAAACCCTAAACCCGTGTCTGAAGCCCAGGCCGTACCGACCGTGGACGCGGTCGTCCCGAACAGCGCGGCCCTGGAGGGCGGCACTTGGATCGAAGTGACCGGAGGCCCAGCAGTCCCTTTTAGATCCCTTTTGGAGCCCTTATAGATCCCTTTAGAGGAACCCCAACCCTAGATAAACCCTATCGAAGTGCCCGGAGTGGGTTTAGGCCTTAGGGTCTAGTGCTCTTAGCCTTTAGGGTTTAGGGTCTAGTGCTCTTAGGGTTTAGGACCTTGGGTTTAGGATCTAGTGCTCTTAGGGTTTAAGGTTTAGGGTTTAATGACCTTAAGGTTTAGGTTTTAGGGTCTAGTGCTCTTGGGACTTTGAGATGTTGTTATTGTTTTGCAACTCCAAGGGGTTATCAGCCAGACAGTTGTTCTTTTGGCTCCTCAGAGCGCTGGACTGGTGCTACCACTACTATGCGGCTGCTGCTGCTGCTGCTGCTGCAGCTACTCCTACTAATACTACTGCTACTGCTACTGCTATTCCTCCTACTACTACTGCTACTACTACTACTACTACTACTACTACCAACTACTACCAACTACTACCACTGCTACTGCCACTGCCACTGCTACTGCTATTGCTACTGCTACTGCTACTACTCCTGCTGCTGCTGCTGCTGCCGCAAGCCTCGAGCCCAGTGGATCTTCACTGAGTTTAGGACTTATGATTTTAGGGTCTGCGCATTTTCGGTATCGCACTTTGGATTGCACCGGAAGCCCTAATGCGAAGGTTTCGTGCACCTTGGAAGCCGAGCAGTTGTGGCAGGTCCCTTCGACGCACGGGTGGAGTATTGGTGCGTTTTCTTGCCGCGCCTCGGTTCGCACTCGTGAACCCAGATGCTCAATTGGAAAGCAAGTCACATTTGGTTGAAAAGCCGTTGTCAGCTGTTCTTGGCCCTGGGGTCTAAAGGTTTTTTACGAACAAGATTGCAGACCGTTTAGGGTTTGGGGTTTTGTATCTTCGCTAACTCAAACACCGAGCCCTAGAATCTGCGAATCAGATTTTTTTAACCCGGTAAACTGACCCTAAACTCTAAACCCTAAACCCTAAAACCCTAAACCCTAAAACCCTAAACGGAGCGCTTTCCCAGGCCTCTTCCGGGAGTCATCCCTGATCTTCCGGCTTTCGGCCGTGGGCCTGGGAGGCCTCGGTTTTTTGGGGATTTTTAACTTTATACTTAGGGTTTAGGTTTTAAGGTTTCTAGGGTTTAGGTTTTTGTGGATTTTTAACTTTTTTTGGCCTTCTTTTATGGGATTGGGCCCCTTTGCGATTTTTGCAAGTTTATGGCCAGTTTTTTGGAATTTTGAGGGTTTCGAGTTTGGGGGGGTTGTTTGGGATCTTTAATGGCTTGTATACGTCATTTTGAGGGTTTTGAGTTGGGGGGAGGGGGGTGGTTTGTTTAGACCTTAGCTTGCAGAGTTTAGGGAAGCATGTGGTATTACTTCATTGATACTTGACCGAAGAAAATACGTCTGTATTTTATTTATGTGAATATACTGTATTTATCCATTTATTTAGTTTTTCATTTATGTATGTGTATATATATATATATAATATGTGTCCACGAAAGGATTCATTACCGGCATAGAATCACTCACGACCCCGCAAAATCCCGACACCCTGAACCTGTACACCCCAAAGCCCTAAACGACACTCGCCTTCACCAAGTCCTTAACAAAGTTAGAGTATGTGGTGTTAAGGTATGGTTTTGTTGTTTTTGGCTGCTGGGTTCATCCAGGATTTAACCCCTCTTCATAATTAGTAGTGTCCCTATCTTCGGGTTTTCTGGATGTTGTGGGTTTGACCCTTAGAACGCTCCAAGATTTGCGGACCCGACCGGCCATGGGTAGAATCTAGAGGCCGCAATAGTTGCCAAGATTATTTCTTAGGGTGCCTTAGTGGAATTTTAGTAAATAGACCCACAAGACCCGATTCAAAATATGAGAGCCAGGATATCATATATATATATATACACATACTGCGTGATTCCTACATTGACAGAAGGGAAGCCGGTTAAGCCTGAGTCCCGTTGAGGTACCTGAACTTCACCACGCTCCTTTGTGAGACGCCTCGGCAGTTACTTCCCTCCGTCTGCCCCTTTGCGGAGAAGTAACGCCACTCTTCACTCCCAAGAGGGTAACATGTACCTATATCGCAGCATGTAGGATCTCTATAATAGGAATTACTATTATCTGCTTTAGGGAAGTATCCCCCCCCCCCCCCATAACAGCGCATAGGACCTTATGGGACTCTGCTACTTCATCTATGGGTGGCTTTCCCAGGCTTCCTCTTTACAAGCACTAGAATATGGCCGCGAAGCCAAATCCCTGAACCTTCACCCTAAACCCTAAAACCCTATAAACCCTTCAGTTCTCAAGCTTCCGATGATGGGCATGGTGTGAGTCACAGGTTGAGGCTTGCAGGTTTAGCGTCTGATTTCCCGTGTTTTTTAAGCAAGCACGCCAGGTCGGGTAGGGATAAAGAAATGCGAGACTACAGCTGAAACCTGCAGCCCTAAAGTGGGGAGTAGTGGCGGCCTGAAATCCGGGCTCCTGCATCTAACCCCACAGCTGTCAATGCCAGACTCCAGATGACTGTGAGATAATATTCCCCAGGATTGCCCACCGTCCTAACCCGTTTCGTGCTATTTGGGTTCCATTCCCTCGGGGTCCAAGCATCCCAAGAATCAACTGCTCGCCAAGTGCTATCCTACAGTACTATTACCCTATGCCTGAGCGAGACAGAGAGAGAGAGAGAGACAGAGAGACAGAGAGACAGAGAGCGTGTGTGTGTGTGTGTCAACTGGGCCCTAGTGGCTGGGGGGTTTCGCACGCCCCTCATGTCCTATGGAAGAAAAGTCAACTACTAGCCCAAACCCAAGCACCTGCCTGTAGGGTCCTTTGGACCCTCAGTTTCATGTTACCCTAGACCCTAAACCGTAAACCCTAAACCTTTACTTCGCAGCATTTGTGTGGTCAGGTACTCTTACGTTGGCCTCCGACCAATCCATGACCAACCTGGGGATTGGCCACCTTCCCTTCGAGCACTCCGGCTCTGGGATTACTAGGGAGGGCTAGGCCTACTATGGGTTCTTGTTAAGGAATTTGGGATAATTTTGGGTTTCGGGTCTAGTTTCAACTAACTACCCTAGAAAGCATGATGTTTACTTTACATCTCTATCATGGTAACATGAACGAAGCTCCTGAACAGGAGCTCAGGTTACGTAACTTTATGTAGATTAGGTGGTTTCGGGCACTGCCACGAAAGGACCCGAAGGGCCCATGAACCTGAACGATTGGAGACTGCTGACTGGGCGTGGATTGGAGAGACCGGGGACTGGGAATTTCAGGAGAAGAACACGCAAAAGGGGCATGCCAGGTTGACGGCAGACAAAGACCTACTTAAACCCCCCAAAGTAGGTAGAAGCATTTCCCAATACCTAGTAAAAAGGTAATTATTCTACATACTTTTCGGGTCCAGGTAGGGGCCCTATCCTAAACCCTAAACCGCCTAGCCTATTAAGACTGTGCGACCACGATCAGATGCAGCTTTCCGGGTCAATCCGGGTTCCCTGCCATTTCAGGGTTCCAGATTATGGCCTCCTTAAAACCCAAAACCCTAAACCCTCTGAGTTCCTGACAAAATTGTATAGATATTGTGACTTGCTCATAGTTGTTACAACTTCCTTATGGTTTGAACAAAAAGCCCTTGGAGCTTGGTAGTGCAGCCAAAGGGATGGGGACTAGGGTTTAGGGCGCAGGGTCCAGTTCAGGTTGCACTGTACTGTGTACAGGGTTCACTGTACTGTGCACAGGGTTTGCTGCCATGAAGGAGGGCTTTCTGCAACTTTCCGAGCGATAGGATATCTTGCATCCTCGCGCCATCTTAAGTGCAGCTTGCATTTTAAAGGCTCCCTCATGGCCCTAACCTGATCAATCTGTATTGAAAGTTTCTAGAGCTGGAAGACCCGGCTCTGCCGGCCTTGCCCCAAAAAGACAGGCCTGTTCGGATACAGGTCCCACCATCCCTAAGCACAACGTGTTTAAGCCGGACAGGATCGTCACGCTAGAGTGTCATGACACTGATTCTAGAGCAGCTTCAGCAAGCGGAAGAAACACGACACAGAAACACGACACGGCCGTGAATCACAAGCAGTGTAGTACCACCGACAAGTATAAAAGCCGCAGCGCCGTAAGTAGCATGACCGATGGCGGCAATTATGAGGGCCTTTAGTCGCGGTAGAGGCAGAGGTTGTCGCATTTGTGGTCTTCGTAGTGGTGTTGCTGGTGGGGTTCGTCATCGCACTACCAGTATCTTTTGCAGCCGTGAGTTGTCGGAAGAGGTTAGACATGACAAGGTTTCGAAGTAGTAGCAGGACGATTATCAGCAGCAGCAGCATTCACCGCCTTGTTTCCACGCCAATCTAGACCTGTTTCGTTCGCCCAGGGAAATAGTTTCTAAACATCCTATGGGTTGTAACAGCTATTTCTTGTAGGGCCCAAATTCCAGCCCGACTTTATAGCTTTCCTAAACCCTTGCGTATGAACCCTGCGCGATTGCAAAACCCCAAAAGCCCTACTGCAGGATTGGTCAAGGTTGGTGCAGAAACCTCGCCTGCCGAGGTTCTATGCGCCGATGGTCGTCGAAGAGGAGGCGTGGCTCTTTCACCGAAACGGACAGGCAGGCCATTAGAAGAATTTAACTTAGGGGTACTTCAAAAAAGGGTCTTTATCTTTTGGTATAGTTTTCTAAGAAACAGCTAAGGGTTCCAATACAAGTTTTGCAAGGGTCTTGTTTTGTGCGGCCTCAGAAGTAAAAGGTTTCCAGAGGGTGTACAAGGCATTCCTAGACTCAACTCAGGCCATTCCCATGGGGTTAAGTCGTGTTTTGCAGGAAGCCTGCCTGCATCTGTGAGTTTTTTAACCGGAACCCTAGACGCTCAGCTGGGAGCCCCATTGCTGCGGAAAATCGGGGTTGTTGTTCTTCTTCTAGTCCTCAGCACTACTAATTACGAATATCGTTAATCATACCTGTACTACTGCTGTCATTTTCACTTTCTACCCGAACCAGCTTGAAGTTCAACTGGTGCTGCAGCACCTTTGGCATCGAGCGAGGCCCCATACTGGAGTCAGAGTCTACATTGGGTTCAGGGTTGAGTAATACAGGGGCCTTAATAATTACCTATATTATTTTGGGGGTTCCCTGCTGTATTTTTGGTATAATGGGTCCCAAAACCCTATTCTAATTATTAAGGCCTCTACACCCTAAACCCTTATAGTAGCCCTTATAGTCAAGGAACCCTTAAAAAGGAACCCCCCAAACCCTATTCTAATTATGAAGGCCCCTACATTACGGTCCAGGACTGTGAGAGGGCTCGGGGTTATTTGGGAGCTTCGGGAAGCTGAATATGTAATCGAGTGCTGTCCAGGGTTTTGGTGTCCACACAGGGTCACTAGAGGAGCCTCAGTCTTTGGAATAGGGTTTTGGGGTCTATATTATACGATCAACTATAATAAGGAACCCCCAAAACCCTATTCTCATGATTGAGGCCCATATATTCAGCCACTTGGGCCCCAAGCATCTGTCAATCCACTTTCCAAGGGTTCAGGGTTTAGGGGACTTCCACTACATGCCTGATCCAGTCATACTCGTAATGCACCCCCTGGCCCGGCGCAGGCTGTCCTTGAAGTCTTGAGGTGTGGGTTTGGATGCAGGGTTCAGGGTTAAGGTTTAGGGTTTAGGGTTCAGAGATTAAGGTTTAGGGTTTGGCTTCGATCCTCACGCCTGGCCAGAACCCCAAGTCCCGAAAATTCCCGATGGTTGCCAGGACTCAGAGTACAACGCGTCGGAAATTGTCGCTGCCGCAGAATCCCAGAGGTGCACACTCAGTTCAAGGTTGACCTGAAGGATAGTGGGACGTAATAGCTCGGTGGGAAATGGGACTTGCACTTTTTTTCGCGTAACCTACTTCAGGATGCCTCCGAAAAGATGTCTACTCTGCTAGGAGCTGAGTTACTTGAGGATCCAAGTCGGGATTAGGTTTTGGAGATGGAACTGGAATCCTGTTTCGTTGAAGCGCGAGGGAGAGGGCGGGAGGATTTCAGACAATGCGGGACCCAAGCGGATGCCAAGGTACTAAGACCCCCAGGAATCCTATGTAACAAAGCACCACAAAACCCTCCACATGTAGCCAATCGTAGTCGTTTGCACAGAAGGTCCTACCAGATCAGAGATGCCCTCCCTCCAATACAAAGAAAGGAACCTCAAAACCCCTAAAGCCTGAACCCTAAACTCTCAGCTCGAGGGCTGAGTGCGTAAGCGTGAAGCTTTTGGGGCTATGTGAAAGTCCCACCAACTTTAAGAGGTTAAGCACTTATGTGACAGGTTTTTTAATATATACACAGAGAAAGATATAGATAGATAGGTAGATAGGTCTATTATAAAGATGTATGTGCACAGGTGTGTTGTATGTATGTATGTATATATATATATATGTATGTATGTATGTATGTATGTATGTATGTATGCATGCATTTGTCGTTTTCCTACTGCGTTTGACCCGGTTCACCTGAATTTCGGCCGTACTCAGTCCTATAAGGGCGAATGCTGCTAGAAATCCATGGCAGGAGCGCCAAACCAGTTTTGCAGCTCAATGACTTGTCAAGTCCCGACGCAAGTGAAGTATTTCGGTAGGGGTGTCTCTGCATGTGTTTGGGTTGTGTTGGTACAGGGGCCTAGAAGGGATGGAGGTTATGGTTTTGTTGAATATAGTTTCATGAAAGGGTAGAGGGTGTAGGTTTTAGGATTTACCTGTAGTCGCCATGTAGTTTCTGTTTCGGTTACCTTATAGGATCTTACATGTAAAGGTGGTTAAACCAAAACATTTCCATGGAGGTTGTAGATAGGCTCCTGCAGGTTCAGGCCTATAGCAGGGGTTACTCCCACATCGTCTGGAGGCTAATGGCCATGATGGGAGCGAAGCAGGCCTGGAAGGGGTTTAGGGTTTGGGAGTTAGGGCCTAGGAGTTGAGGTAATTCGCATCACTATCCTGTGCGAGTTGAAACAGCATAAAGGCCTTGAGTGGGTTTAGGGTTTAGGAGCTCGGGGTCTAGTTCGGAAGATTGTCGCTACTTGCTTCAGGCTTATGTTTCTGTCACTCCTCCGGTTGCATCCTTCCTTCAACGAGAAGGCCCTGCTGTTGAGCTGTGTTCGCTGGCACATAATCCAAGCCCATGCTGAAAAGGAGCTAGGGGCTTAGGAGTTAAGGTTGTTCGCAGCACCATCCTGTGCGAGTTAAAAAGAGCATAACCCCAGATCTGCCAAAGTTGTAGTTCGTGACTTCGCGGTAGAACCCTGGAGCTCGTGGGCCATTGAATTCCGAAGTTGGTATTCGGGAATCCGGCTGCCTTTACGGTGTACGGTTCTATCCCCTTGGCCTGGAACTCAAACCATCCGAGCCATTGGTTTTCGGAAGTTTCAACGGATCCGGAGACTGTAGTAGAACCGCAAAATTACAAAACCAATACCCTCAATCCATAAGGGTCATGTATATCAGCACTATGTGTCCTTAATCCAGTTTCCAACTGTTTGCGGTTTGCTATGGTCGCTGAGGCAGTTCTTTGAGGCCTTTGGAACTCACAACCCTTTGTCGAACAGCTTCAAGTTCAAGCCGCACCGTACACTCCCAAGTATACAGAATGCCTGCGGTTTGTTTTCATGTGGCTGCATAATTGCTCACCAATCGGCATGATTTGGCATGTGCGAGCTACCCACAAGAATACGATTCTTATTGCTGTTGTTATTATTGCCATTGCGGCTACACATGATATATACAGCGGCCTCTAGAAGAGTTGTAATTTTGCAGGGTTCAATGCTTAGGGCTTGCGCCTGTCTTGGCCGATTGCGGGCACCTAGGACCCTAAGCCGTTTGCAGCTTTAGCGGTTTAGAAGCTGAAGCCTTACCTCGACTCCCAGAGACCTCGCCTGGCTTGTCCGAGTTGCGAGAGTGTAAACTCTACTCCAAAGCCTTAAGCCCCAAACCTAACAACTATAAACTGAGGAAAAACCTAGCCCTAGACCCTAAACCCTAAACCCCGGAAAAAAAAANNAAACCCTAAACCCTGAAAAAAAAACACGCGAAACCCTTGTAGCCCTAGTATCTCAAGTCGAGCCGATGCTGCCTTGCACCAGGCAGAGGAGCCGATGCCAAGGCGCCAGGGTAGCCCCAGGAGCCCCAAGCTGTAAGAATTCTGCGGTTTAGGGTTTAGGATTTAGG